CGTACAGCAGCAGCTCTCCCGAATCGAGTCTTTTATTTCCGGCTTGGATTCAGTGTTTTCCGAAAACATTCATTGTGATCCCCTCCTTCTTTGTTTTGAATGATGCTATGATGACTCTTGATCCGTGATATTCCCATCCTGCAAGTGCAAGATCCTGACGGAATCCAGCCTGTTGATCTCGAAGTTGGGTGTCTACCGCGTTTTTCATCCGATTCAGCAACACTGTTGAAAACGTGTCTTCGTACTGACAGTAGTGTGATGCCTTTGTAGTTCTCACATTCGCTCAGATTTCATTTCGTTGATATCTTTCTTTCCAGTCCATTGGCACTTGTTCTTCCAAATCTTCCTGAATAGAGCGTGGAGCATGTTTGCAGTTACTTCAATGTCTGACTTCAGTGATTCAGCTAGTATATTGTCAGGTTCTGCTGCTTTCTCACTCTCGTTTTGTCTGATGGCCATACTGATTTCTTCCGTCTTCGGTAGAGTGATATCTATAAGAAGGTCTGTTTTTGCTGCTTTGGTCTCCGGTTGATGTTCTTTGATCAGGTTGTTTTCTAACAGATGGAGTTCCTAACCCTCCTTTATCACTTCAGGGATCAGAAGGCAGAGTTTTTAACCTCATCGGCCAGCCATGTATGCTTATTTGGGTACGCTTCACTGATTGTACATCGTACTTTAAGGATTCTTAAATCTGATGTTTTAGGTCTAAGACTTTAAGGAAAACCAGGTGACTCGTTGAGAGATACTTGCTGTAATCACTTATTTGAGTCAAGGCTGGCTTATAAAACCCAAAATATATTAGAAATAAAATTAATTAGTGCTTGTCTTATATGACCTCTCTTATTTAGAGGTGCTTTCTGGATTTATAGCCTCTAAAAGTCAACCCGGAAAGAGACGCTCAAAAGAGATTTACTTTCTTGACGTAAGTAGGTATCTTACAAATCCATATTCATTTTCATGAAAGCGACCTACGAGGTTGTGTAAAACACGTCTAAATACACTTGTTAATGTTAGTCTATGGAAAGGCATTATGCATACAAAACTATTTCCTCATAATATTATAGCATATGGAAAATGTGAACTGGTTTTATCTCGATTTGCCGTTCTTCCTTCACATGATTTAATGTCTTGAGAAATCGTGTAGAAATATGAGAACTCTCGCAGTCTGTAAGAGGAATAAATTTTTTCTAGATCTATGAACCTTGTAGTTGTATTTTAAGCTGAAAGCTATCTACTTGACTGTGTCGATTTCTGTCCTTAGAATTATCTTCAAAATGAGCTTACTACTGGTTAGTTGTTAGAAATCTAAACATAAAGTTATTTGTTTCCAGACATACGACTGACAAACTTTACTGGGAATCTGAAGTTATTTAATTTTTTCCCGGTGCTGCTGTTCGTCGCTGTGGTTTTGTTATTGATAATTTGAGTGGAGTTATAGTTTTTAAACAACCAAGTTTTCTAATTACCGAATCCCGTTGTTCAAATAAACCGATTACGGACATAGAATTCAGGTGTATGATCGGTATACTATCATCGGTTAAAATCTTTTAGATTAGGTTTTTGTAGTATTCTCGTTAATCCGCTTATAAAGATTGCTGTGGCTCTCAATATTTTTTAACCCAACCTCCCTGTCATCGACTTTTAAGTGAACCTGGTTTCGGACAACAAACGATTTTATTACGTTTAAATTATCTTGTTTTGTTAAGAGTTTATGCTTATTTGGTCTATAAGTTTAAGAGCATCTATATCAATATTGATAGTGCATTATCATTTCAGACCACCAAGCACATTAAAGCCCTCACGTACTGATCATTGATCTGCATCCGAAATAGAATAGTAGTTAACATAACAACATTGTAAATGTTATGGAAAATTCTTTGTTGCTGAAAGGCATAGGTGATAAGTTTTCTTACATCTCACTCAACAGCTGAAAAATAATGCTTGGTCTCTGTGATATAAATAAGATCCTTTATCTGTTCGCATCTTTCATTGATGACTTTCTAGAGAAGCATGTAGTAATACACTATATGTGAAACAAATTACTATGGCATCTGAAATCAGTTAGGCTGTACAGAAAATTAAAGCAAAACTATTGGAGAGCCAGCTGATTTTTCGTGTTAAGATGCAGCAAGTCTTAACATACAGTATTCTGGCTTTCAGCCATCAAGTTTATTTGTCAGATGTTGATAAATTTGGTAAAATTAACATTATCAAGTTCAATAAAACTTCAGCGTCAATAACGAAGTTATTACTAGTAGGCATTTGTGTTATACCAAGAAGTAAAACTTTCACTTTGCGCCGAATTTTGTGTTAAGCAAGAAGCAAGTTTAACCCTAACATATATCTATATAAAAGCAATATCTTGCACTTGCAGGATGGGAATATCACGGATCAAGAGTCATCATAGCATCATTCAAAACAAAGAAGGAGGGGATCACAATGAATGTTTTCGGAAAACACTGAATCCAAGCCGGAAATAAAAGACTCGATTCGGGAGAGCTGCTGCTGTACGTTGGTCATGAATGAGAAAATGCTTCGTAAACAAAAGTTACATTGATGCTGTTCGAAGAAGCACAACAAGCTTCTATAGGACGGGAATTTCATGGATCCACAATCATTCAAAGGAGAGGATTGCAGTAAATGTTATCTAGCGCAGAGGCACTCACTAATGATAGTAGTGCAGACGATAAAGAATAATTTTACAGCAGACTAAACTCGATCGTAAAAAAACTGTCCAGAAAAGACATAATCATTAGGATGGAAGACCTAGGCAACATCACGTATGAAAATATCATGGCATGACATGAACTAGGAAAAATGGATGAGAAAGATGCAAGATTCGCGAATTAGTGCCTTTAACAAACGCATTCATAAAGCTACATGGGTCTCACTAGATCGCTAAGGAGAACCAGATTGATCATATTTGTATCAACAAAAAATTCAAAAGCTAAATGGAAGACATGACATTCAGGAGAGAAGCTGATAAAGCTTCAGATCACCATCTAGTTGTGACGGAAGAAATCAGCATGGCCATCAGACAAAGCGAGAGTGAGAAAGCAGCAGAACCTGACAATATACTAGCTGAAGCACTGAAGTCAGACATTGAAGTAACTGCAAACATGCTCCACGCTCTATTCAGGAAGATTTGGAAGAACAAGTGCCAATGGACTGGAAAGAAAGATATCAACGAAATGAAATCTGAGCGAATGTGAGAACTACAAAGGCATCACACTACTGTCAGTACGAAGACACGTTTTCAACAGTGTTGCTGAATCGGATGAAAAACGCGGTAGACACCCAACTTCGAGATCAACAGGCTGGATTCCGTCAGGATCAGTTGTGCACAGACCAAATCGCGACACTACTGATCATTGTTGAACAACCAACTAAATTGAATTCATCACTTTACATCAACTTCGTTCACTATGAGGAAGCATTTAACAGCGTGGATGGGCGAACCTTCTTCGAAACTATGGGGTGAGTGGCTTAGATCGTTAACATTATCTGGGATTCATACGACAGATTAAATTGCAGAGTCGTGAATGTAGGACAGCTGCATTCCAAGTGAGGACCGGTACCAGACAAGGTTGCTTACTCTCTCCCTTTCTCTTGTTTCTGATTTATGGAGACTGGGCTACGAAGACCTCCACGTCTGAACAGAAGCATGGTATAGAATGAGCAGCTTGCATGCAACTAGATGATTTGGACTTCACAGATGATCTAGGCCCCCTATCATATACACAGTAACAAATACAAGTGAAGACAACTAGTGTAGCAGCAGCCTCTGTATCAGTAGGCCTCAATACACACAGTGGAAAAATCGAGATCCTCAAACACAACACGGAGAACACCAACCCAACCACACTTGATGGAAAAGCTCCGGAAGACGCGAAATCTTCCACGTACCTGAGAAGGATCATCGATGAACAAGGAGGATAGGATGCAGACGTAAAGGCGAGGATTGGCAAAACAAGGACGGGATTTCTACAGTTGAAGAACATATGGAACTTAAAACAACTGTCAGCCAACATCACAGTCAGAATCTTCAATACGAAGTTTTATTGTACGGAGCTGAAACATGTAGAACCACTACAACCATCATCAAGAAGGTTCAAGTACTACGCAAGATTCTCAACATCCATTGGCCGGATACCATCAGCAACAGCCTTCTTTCGGAGTCGAAAAACCATCTTCCATCTCAAGAGGAAATTAGAAAAATACATTGGAAGTGGATATGACATAGATTACGGGAATCACAAAACTGCATCACGAGGGAAGCGGAAAGGAGGGAAACCAAAGGACACATTACGTCACGAAATAGAAGCAGATATCAAAAGGATGAATAACAACTGGAAATGATTGTTCAGGACAGGGTTGGATGGGCGGCCTATGCTCCTCCACGAGGAGCAGATGTGTAAATAAAAATAATAATAAGCACGACTATTTTAAAATTTCAGGGTATACTTGGCAGAAGACCTCATCGTCCATTGATAGCCACTTCAAACCAGGTACTTGATGTAACTTAATGGTCAAGGTTAGTGCCAAACAGACGTCTTGTGAAGAGAAACCAAGACCGAGACAATAGTCAGGGGCGATGAACCTTATACGACAAATTAGAAAAAATTTTCTTTTAGCCGAGCAGTTCATGATTAATATCAAGCTTCTAACCCTAAGGAGTTATTCGTAAACTGCTCCCGTTATATTGTTATTTTTTAATATAGAACGATATCAACTATTGTAGGTTCTGAATTATCGTACATTTACAATTATGTTGAGCAGAACTGGATAGTCACTGGTATTGGAATCCAAATGCATGTTTAATCCTAGCTAAGTGGATAACGTAACGAGGTTTGAAAAGATAGGAACTGGGTTTGAGTCTCGGCATAAGCAATAGGATCCAATTTCATCCAACTGATGAGCCATAGATAAGAGGAATCACGCGTCCAGAGTTCCACTGCTAGCCACTACGCATGTATTTTTTAAATTAACTTATATATTATGTACGTGTAAAAAAATGTTCATACAGGGACTATAATGCTCGTTTTTATTTTCCAGCAACGAATGCGTGTGAGCCAATAGTTTTCGTCTTGATTTTCTAATCCGCTTTATGAAGTATGTATACGTGAAAGGTTCTTTGTAGTTACTTCGCAAGAAACAAAAAGAACAAACTAAAATGGAGCTTTAAATACCATTTGAAAGGCAATACAGTTAATTACACAGCTTCTAATACACAGGCGTTTTTATTAGTGAAAAACACATGGTTTGTGCAAACATTTTCAGAAGTAGAATAAACGCAGAGAAAACCAGTTTTCGGAAAAATATTTTAAAAGGTAAAGTTAGTTTTAAATACTTAAGAACTTGAAAATGATTAACACTATTGTAAAATGTTGTTTATAGGTTTAGAATGCCAATGCGTATCTCCATTCAGGCATTTCCATACAAATATTATAAGAGTAGATAGTTGACTAGGGACAATTAAAACAGTAGTATATGTAAGAGCACAAATTATTGCCAGTGTGATGCAATCTATCAGGAATAGTTAAGGGGAAAAGCAAAAATGAATCAAAATATGGATGTCACTGACTCGTTCGAAAAGATCAGGGCTGTAAGACTGGAGTTTATCAGAATAATGCATATAAATCCATTGGTGCTAATTAGGAATTTTCGGAACATGATATTGATTAGGTCCCCTTATATTTGTCTGATATCTGTTTTCAGCTGTTACTTCATAACGCGAATTGAGACTTGTTTGAGAAATTCTAAACTTTTACATCTGTACTTTGAAATCTTGCATTTTTTCACTACTTTAGTCAAGATTTTTTGAGTCAAGCTGTCCATGTGTATTCATGCGAAATAAGAATCTAATTGTTTACAGCTTCCCGTAATTTACTGCTGTTGCTAGTAACTCATACTCAGCCTTAGAATCAACCACATAGAGATTTCATAAGACGTAATTAATAGAACACACTTCCAAAATAAAAAGGAAAACTAAAATCGCAACTCATCCACCTTTTGTCTTGAAAATAACTGAAGGTACTTGTATGTCTTAAAGTTAACTTTAAAAACAAAAACACCATGATGTCCACTTGAAGGCCTAAGAAGAATACATTTTCTTTCTTTAATAAATGAAACGATAACAAACGCGCACCACATAGAAGAATCTCCGTGAAAGAAATGGAGTTTCTACTAATGGGCTTTCAAGAGAATTTACATAACTTATGCATTTGAAAATTTTCCATGTAGTGAAATGATTATCATAGCAATGAAAAAGGATACGTAGTATGACCTTTTCCCATGGTTCACACATATAAATAGCCAAGCATAAACAATATTTGTTGAACAGACTGTGAAGAGTTCGGCAAGGTGATGCGATCATTTTGTTGTAGGCTGCTACGTATTTTTATAAAACTTACTATCTACCAAAATGATCTATACTTCACTGAGGTCCTAAAAATAGGAATAACACAACATTGGAGACATTTATACACATTATGTTTATGTTCTTGAAAATTCCGGTTAGTCATAATATAATCACACAGATCAGGTAATTTTATCGAAAAAGTGTTGGTTGCTGAGTTTTGACTAATATAGAGTTGTATACAGTTAACATAGATTAGTAGGATCTCACATTTTTAAAAAATTCTGGTGCTGGGAATGGGAAAACAAATACTGCTTAGTTCTTTTCAGGGACCTCGGAGCTGGAATGAATTTTACCAAATTTAACTAGGCATTTCCATTTTACTTGATAAACTTTGATTAGTTATGGTACGGAGATGACTGTTACTTTGATGAAACTCTAAAGTACGTGTATAAATAAGCGAAAAGTTTTGAGTTCCATCCTCGTATTGTGTTTTGAACTTTGTATTCGTTTAAATAAATGGCCTAAATTTATAAACCACTAGACATTTGTTGGAAGTATATTGTTAGTTATAATTATTTTACGAATTAGGATTACCCAGGGTGACAAAGCCCACCAATATTAATATTTTCCAATGACTAAATCCGGAAAAGACATGCTAATATAACGCAGTATAGTGTGGATGTACTTAGATGACAAAGTGAAAGTTACTTCTAGTTAGTGAATAAATAATAGTGGTTACTGACACAATTTAAAGACCTATACTACTCTTATTTCCGCTGAGCTACGTGATTAAATTGCGAAGTTATCGCTCTTAAAACATGACCGAAAAACGTAAGGTGGGATCTAATTATTGTTAGTGGTCAGCTACCGGAAAGATTTACCAAAACATTCGGTAGCAGACTTATTAGTGAACACCTTCACGGTGAGGCTTGATCTTCAAGGAGGAACATCTCAAAATTTACTGCACTGTAAACTGAATTAGGATGTCACTTTAGGAGCGATGAATCATCGGTATCAATAGGTAGAAACTCAGATATACAAAAACAGATCGGAAAGAGGTTTTCACTTAAATTAGTGGAAAATGCAAGAGTCCTCAATTGAATACATAGTTCCTGTTTCAAAAAACCAGGTGACACAGACTGAACTAAATTAAAAAACTGAATCCCAAGGATTGACTATTCTTAAGGATTAGATATCGAACCAACAAATCAACAGAAAAATGCTGGATCGCTACTGTATGGATATTTCGTTTAACGCTGGTATTAGAAACATGCTCTTAAAAATATTTTAAGACTCCCATGAGTTTATTTATTCAACTTTTCATGGACACTCCTTTGTAGATAACGCTTCCATAGCACGACTTTTAAGGGCTAATCGACTAACAGGATGTTCATTTATTCACTAGGGATACACAGATAACATAGTCTTATTAGGTGAAGACTGAATGAGTGCAGTCTTCTGACCATCTAAAACAACTTTATGATGTTTAGTTTCTTTTAATCGTAAAATGTAGTCTCAGGACTAGCCCTGAACTAGAGAGGTTAGTCGCTTCGTTTATTTCATCAGCTTTATTCGCATAATGCGAATAGTACCATGTGTTTTATAAAACTGCAGAACCCTCCTTGGTTTTTTGTTGCATTCTAACGAGACCTGCAACGAATCTCCCATAAAATTGACCCGAAATGGACTAATTTTGACTCGAAGCTGGTAGCATGAGGTTTTAACTTATCTGACACATTGAAATAGGATAAATTCACCCTAATAAGACATGGAAATTTGGGGATTGAATTTTTATTGGGAAGAAAATCAGTGATAAGGGGAAAAGATAGAAAAAACGAGATTTGGAGATAAGTAACATAAACAGAACAGGGAAAAGGGCTGCAATTAAATTCAATGTGGCAGTGTAGTAAGTGCTGCTACTGGACCCGTTAAACACTTGACCGCGGTTGACGGGAACGTGAAATCTCTGTTGACAACGAGGAATGAAGTGTCGCTTGATATTGACATCGGCAGTCATACACCTCTAGTCGAAATAGAAGATCTGTCACCGTTCCACATAGTCCAGGTGTGGCTGTTCTGAGTGGCGACAGATGGACTTCGGTAAGAAGGAAAAAAAAATAAAAAGGCTGTAGGCAAAACGCAGCTGGTCAGTAAGACATTGGAAGGGATGTTATCAGAAGAAAAATCCTCACCGCGTGACAACACAGGTCTCTTTGATAGATCAGTCATTTTTCATAAGATAAGAGAATCTTCAGATACTGAACCAAAGGCAAGATTTGAGCATGATCTCTATCATATTAAGACATCATTAAGTAAACTACTCCCAGATACAGTTTCAGGAGTTAGTATTTGTAAGCTTTATAGAATAGGAAAAAAGGTGGATTCCGAAAGTCCTCAGAAAAACCGCCTCCTAAAGGTTACATTCAACACGGTGGGAGAAAGGAACCTGATTCTAAGTAATTCACGTAAACTGATTGGATCCGGAATATATGTCCGTGAGGAACTCAGCCTAGCTGATCGTATTAAGAGAAGAGATTCAGAAGCGGAAATAAACGAGCGTCGCCGAAACGGTGAAAGAAACCTCGTTCTTAAGGGTTTTCAGATTGTAAAAGTTTGGAGCAAAACGATCCCCAAGCCACTCTGGGTGGCAAGGGAAAGCTCTCCACAGACTTAAAAGTGTGCTACACAAATGCTCGCAGCCTACTAAATAAAATGGCGGAGCTGAAGTCAGTGGTGGATAAGGAAAAACCGGACGTTATCGCTGTCTCGGAAACTTGGTTAACGTCAGAAGTATTAGATAGTGAAATCCAGTTGACTGGTTTCATAACCAGTAGGGCTGATAGATTAAACCGAAGGGGAGGCGGGGTTATTGTGTACACGAAAAGTACCCCAACCATAAGATTAGCTGAGACAGTAGCACATGTTTCAGGGACATGTGAACTAGTGAGATGTAAGTTGAAATGCCGAAGGCAAGATATTGAAGTAGTTGTAGTTTATCGCAGTCCAGAAAGTGTAGCAGATGATTTTCTCCTAAGTAAACTTAAGTCCTGGTGTAACAACGGTAAAAGCCTTGCAGTAGGCGACTTTAATGCGCCATACATAAACTGGGTAAACTTAGAAGTAGGGTCAGCCATATCGTCTTTCGACTCCAAACTGTTAGAAACCTCGATTGGACTAGCATTATTACAACACATTAGAGATCCCACAAGATACGACTTAAGAAACTCGTCTTCTATTTTAGATTTAGTCTTCACGCACGGTGATGACGTTGGTCAAACGGCTTTTCTTCCACCACTTGGGAGAAGTGACCATGCAGTCATCTTATTCAAATTCATGGTTGAGATTGCTTGTCAAACAATTGCGCCGGCCCGTCCTAACATATGGAAGGCAGATATGCAGGCAATTAACTCCGCAGCATCAGCTGAGAACTGGGAAATTGACTCTAAGGCATCAGTACAAGAGGCATGGACTCTATTCAGGTAGTTATACAATCGGGTAACTCAACCATACATACCCTGGACTGTCCCAAAGAAAAAGAAGCACGGACATCCCTGGATAGTGCGGAATATTCGACGCTTACTAAGACAAAAGAAGAAATGCTGGGATGTTGCCATCCGCCTTGGCACAGCAGGTACGCTGGAACGTTACAGATCGATAAGAAACGAGTGTATAACTAAAATTCGGGAAGCGCAAAGAAAATATGAAATGCAGCTGGCACAATCTGCACTCAAGCAGCCCAAGAGGATATTCTCGTACATAAACTACAGAACAAGGATTCATCATTGGATTCCCAACCTAATTAAAGTAGGAAGTGAATCTGAACTGATAGAGGAAGATCAGCAAAAAGCTGAGGTTATGGCTGACTATTTTGGGGCAGTTTTCACTCAGGAACCTCCTCTAGAGAAAGAACCAGACCCAATTACAGAGTCAACAAACCAGCTGCTCACCGTGGACTTCGATCAAAACGATGTGCTTAAGGCTCTTAGCACCCTAAATATGGAAAAGTCAACAAGACCAGATGAACTACACCCTAAAATCCTGAGACATATAGCCCAATATATCGCAGCCCCACTGACTGTGATATTCAAAATGTCACTTGACCAAGGTGTTACCTATGGACTGGAAGGACGCAATCGTCACTCCCATACATAAAACAGGTCCACGACAAGTTCCATCGAATTACAGACCCGTAAGCCTCACCAGTGTTGTAATTAAAATACTGGAAAGAATAATCAAACGGACCATAACGGCATTTATGGAGACAAATAACTTGCTGAACATGGCACAACATGGTTTTAGAAAGGGTCTACCCTGTACAACGAACCTCCTTATAGCTAGGGAGCTCTGGATTAATGCGCTAGACAACGGAAACTCAGTGGATGTTGTCTACATAGACTTCAGTAAGGCTTTTGACAAGGTGCCAACTAATAGACTGCTATTAAATTTGGCAAACCTTGGTATTGCCGGACCTCTTTTAAGATGGATTAAGGATTTCCTAGTAGGTCGTAGGCAAAAAATAAGAATAAATTCCAAGCGCTCCATCTGGAGACCAGTACTTAGTGGGGTACCTCAAGGTTCGGTCCTAAGTCCTTTACTTTTTATAATGTACGTCAATGATATTACAAGTATAGTACAGTCTCCAATGTTATTAAACGCTGACGATGTAAAAATTTGGCGAGTAATAACTGGAGACAAAGACGCATTTACTCTTCAGGCGGACTTAAATAATATGATAAACTGGTCTAAAGAGTGGCTGATGCCTGTCAACTCGGAAAAGTGTGTCTACATGCACTTAGGGGATCCAAAGGTTAATATATACAACATAGGGGATGTGTCATTGCCCGTAGTCCGGTCTCATAAGGATTTAGGGGTGACAGTGAGCAATAATCTTAAGACGACGGCCCATTGCCGGGAGGTCGCAGTTAAGGGGTTTCGAACCCTCTGGGCTTTAAAAAGGACATTCACTAAGTTTGATACTACCATGTTCACAACATTATACACATCCTTAGTGAGAACTAAGTTAGAGAACTGTGTTCAGGCTGCAAGCCCCTGTTTAAAAGGTGACTCAGACATACTAGAAAAAGTGCAGAGGGCAGCTACGCGTGCAATTCCGGAATTTCGGGGTTTATCATATAAAGAGCGGCTTGAAAAACTGAACCTCTTTACTCTGTCCTATCGCAGACTAAGGGGAGATCTAATATTGATGTACAGAATACTGAGACATGATTTCGGACCTAACTTATTCTCTCTTTTTCTTCCCACTAGATCGGGACACCTCAGAGGACATAGCAGGCGAGTAGAAAAGCCAAGAACGAACAAAATACCCGTGGGATACAGGTTTTCACACCGAGTCATCAATACTTGGAACCTGCTGCCTGAAGCAGTGGTGTCCGCACCTTCAATTGACTCTTTCAAGAGAAGACTGGACACTCACAGAATCATACTAGAAAAGGAATAACATAGGCTGTAGGCCTTCTGTCCTTACTACACAAATCTGAACTAAATTTCGTAATCGTGGCAGTCCACTTGGTAACCAATCAGAATGGAGCGGGAAATATTATATCCGCCATCTTTGCAAACAGTGACGGTCGGCTTAATTCGTTCAGTTTTTCTCCGCTCTTTCTTTTGTGTAGTTGCCTACTTTAATGTTTCGATGTTCTGGAATTTTGCAGTTAATGTAATACTCTATGTATTCAGTTTGGAAGGAACAGGAGTCTTGAGTTTCAGTTTGGAAAGGACAGGACTCTATTCCGGAAATCAGCTGAGTTGCACTTCGTTGAATCCTTTCCAGAAGCTCAATATCTATTTTTAAGCAGATGCTAGCCGCTTGTATGTAGTACTCAAGTTCAGGACCCAATAATGCTGTATACAAAGTCAAAAAACGTTTTAGCATCGACATGACTGAAGGCCCTACGTACTGACCACGGGGTTCTAAAGCCTTTGACAGCTATTGCACGGCAGTGTGCAGTGGTCTTTAAGTTTTGGCCAACAATTGCTTGTAAGTCATTGTGCGTCTGGACAACAGGTAGCTGAGTGTTATTCATCGTGTATGTATCTATACCTTCATGACCGATATGCATCACAACAAACTTGTAAGTATTTATCAGCAACTGCCAGGTTTAAGGCCACGCAGATTATTTCTCTATGTCATTTTGGAGTTCTAAGCTATCACCCTTACTTCGTATCGCTCTCCACATCGTGACATAGTCAACCTACAGCAAGACCGATGATGATAGTAGACGAGGAAGGTCATTTACTTACAACAGGTATTTTACACACATCAGTAGACTGCCTGAAACCCCGACACTTCTTAACTTATATAACAGCCGGTTGTTCGGAACTTTGTCAAAAGCTTTGCTGAAGTCAAAGTAGGCCACGTCTATATGTAACTTTTGACCCTTAAGGGCGTACCAGGTTTCACAGGCCACTACTATGTTTGTGAGACAGGAATGATCTATTCTATAGCAATCCTGAATTTCCGAAATGATCCCGTTTTCGTCGAGGTAGGTGAACAGCTGTTTCAGAAAAATGTTTTCTAAAATTTTAAAATCTACACTGATCAGGCTAACGGGTCGGTAGTTCTCAGGTTTATGTTTCGTACCTGTTTCGAAGACAGCACTTACTATGGCGTTCTTCCAGTCTTTTGGTAAACGACCCTGAGTTACGGGAAGGTTGAAACACATACTTAAGGGATTCGCAAAGAAGTTGGCCAGTTCTTTTGATAACCTGGGATGTAGTTCATCGAGCCCCGTAGATTTGCCCATGTCCAACTTATTTACCAGACCAAATACATCGAGTTATTTTATGGTCACACTGTTCAGTGATGGTGTGAGGGATTTGTATGGACTGACGGGAAGGGTATTTCTTTGGTATATACATTGCTGAAGTAATTTGAGAGCATTTGAGCTTTGCCAAACTCGTCCTCCACTAATGATAAAGCAGTACTGTCTCCGCATAGTGCTGGAATATTGCGCCTACATTTTGTCCTTTGGTTTATATACAAATACAAGCGTTTAGGACATTCTATGGATTCCTTGACAATTTTCTCTTCGTACGACCTTCTAGAATTACGTAGGTCCAAGACACAAGTATTTTGAGCTTCTCGATATTGACATTTTGTCCCATCAGTCCCCAGTAACCTAAATCTGTCCCACATTTTTCTTCTCTGATGGAAAAGGATGCGTTTCTCGTACCCCTTCGTGTAGTCTAAGCCATGTGGGTTGAAGTAAATTTTAAGTATAAATTCCTTAATATGTCCCGGGCTGTTTCAATTGTGGACTGTGGCTCTATTGTCTACCGACAATGCTGAGTGTATGATATCTTGTGTGTCTACTTTCCAGACGTTAAGTCTGCATTGAGCGCAAATCTTCTTTAAATCAGCCTTGTTTTCTCTGATTTTGTTGCTTCTACCAAAGTCAATGTATTCCTTCAGGCAAGCTCGCTTGTCTTATGGCACAAAATAATAATCCGTTATTGTTTTTTTATTTTGTAAATTTCGAAAACCCAAGTTAATTTTTTAAGCTAAGAGAAGTGTTGTTGCCGCATAGGACTCTAACTGTCGGCATGTTCGTTCCCAAATATCATTTGTGATGTTATCGGGAGCAATAAAAGAAAACAGGAAATTCACCGGCAAAATTAAATATGCAGATGACATTGTGTGTAGAACCATAGTATTCTTCAGAAGGACCTTGACATGTCAAACATTCTGCTCGGTGGGAAAGCGGCAACGGTATGCAGGTGACGTTTTAGAAATAATTAGAGGTAAGAGTATAATTTACACGTAACTTCAGGCAGCGCGTATGTGACCTTGAGATGATTCACCTACTTACTTAGGTCAAAAGAAAGTCATGAATTATTATGAGGAATTAGGATTACGATTAGTGGTTACTAGTTAAGGTTGCGAGTTAGAGTAAATCTTCACACTGTGAAATAACACTATATTTAATGGCGAAACCCAACTTCAATAAATGAATGGGTGAATTTCACGTCCGAATTGAATACACGCCATCCTTGGTCTGATTGACTTATCCAAAAGTAGAAGTTTATCTGACTTGTTATATGTCAAACGAAACATAGCAGAAAGCTCATCTTTGTTAAAATAGGCGATAATTTGCATGCATGGATGAAATAAATTTACTTTCGTGTATATATAACTTTAGTGGCATATTTGGTCTATTTTAACTTCGACTGTTTCGACTAAGGTTTAGAATTTTCCTCGAATTAGTTTTTCGATACTCCGTTTCTAATTGATTCCCACACTTGTTCGTATCTCATGCATTCCACCCTTAAATCTGTTTGCATTGATCGTCTGTACTTTTAAGTGTAGGCAGTCTAATTGTTTGTTTTCTTCGGAGGGAATGGTGAAATGTGGTGAGTATAACAGCGAATTCCTACGAGTGTGTTCATTTGAAACTCACCTCAAGGAAAAGATGCTCAAAGAATACGATTGACTTGGTAGACGTTTGATTTTACTGAGTATTACAGTGGGTAATTTGATTAAATTAAAAGAGAGTGATCCAAAATTTTGACACATATAAGACCTGGAAAAGGTCGAAACAATCATTTTTAGCACCCAACCTGATTACTTGCTTACTTACGCCTGTTACTCCCAACGGAGCATAGGCCTCCGACCAGCATTCTCAACCCACTCTGTCCTGAGCATTCCTTTCCAGTCCCATCCAATGTTTGTTCATTTTTCCCATGTTTGTCTCCATTTATCGACGTAATATGTTCTTTGATCTTCCTCTCCTCCTTTGGCCTTGAGGATTCCAAGTGAGGGCTTGCGTCGGGACGCAGTTGGGTGCTTTCCTCAATGTGTGTCCTATGCACTTCCAGCGCTTCTTCCTGATTTCTTCATCCACTGGGATGTGGTCTGTTCTCTCCCACAGTAGTTTGTTGCTGATAGTGTCTGGCCAACGGATCCGAAGTATTTTGCGTAGACAGCTGTTAATAAACACTTGTATCTTCTGGACGATGGCTTTAGCAGTTCTCCAGGTTTCCGTACCATACAGTAGAACTGGCTTGACATTTGTATTGAAAATTCTGACCTTGGTGTTGGTTGACAATTGTTTTGAGTTCTAGATGTTCCTCAGTTGTAAATATGCTATTCTTGCTTTGCTGATCTGCGCATTCATGTCTACATACACAACCTGATAACTGCAGGAAAATTCATAAGAATAGGAAGAGTATTGTAGGAAATTTTGAACCTCGATCATTTTGACCGCTGAAAGTAACACTTAGATCTTAAGATCAAGGAAATCTTTTGTTAAAGTTAGAGTTAGACCTGGAATATATCTAGAAGGCAGGATAAAATAATCTAAACAACTGGCCACAAAACGGTGAGGTAAACCTCTAGTTGTGTTATTGGAGGTAATTCGAGCACAAATACTCGTAGTTTAGGAAACAAATTCTATGAACTACGAGTATTATTAAATGAATGGAAGACATTCATCATAGCTGATACTTAAACGTAGTTATTCCATGGTCTTGAATTCATTTCAGGATTGTGTGTTGTTCATGAATAAATAATGTGCGAAGTACCATTGGTTTTTTAATGGAAAGTTTTTAGCTTAAATTCACAATAACTTGAAGTGCCTTGAACTTTGTTTGAGTTGGATAATCGGTAACACAATTCAGCATTCGGTAAATATTTAAGGGTTTGTTCATAAGAGGACTTTCACTGCTATCGACAGTTTATTTCTCCTTCTGGTAAGATAAAACTTTGGATTTAGTGTACCCGTAACAACTTAGGTTGGTTGGTTTAGAGTTCACCTCAAACAACCAAGCATATGTCAAAACAGTATAGTTCAAGTATTCATTCACTTCCTTATTTTGTATAGGCGTTATATTTCCTATTATCTTATATTGAATGCTTAGAGGCTTTGTTTGTCTGAACAAATAATCCCATGCTTCACTGTGACTGCGCGAAGATCCAAATAAAGATCTATTCACTACTTGTCTGGCTTCTATCAATAGCACGAGGGTTACCTAGAAGCACGAGTTTGGTGAGCCCTAATGAACAGAAATTTAACCTCATCTTTGTTAGTAATATTATTATTTTACATAATCGTAAAAGTAAACCATCTGATTATCCGTGAACTATGTCGGGTATGCACATAGTTTACTTTTTTATCTTAAGTTATTCGTGTTGTATCAACCATTTTTCGTGCTAATTTTACCACTATATTGGTCACATACTTTATGTCAGACTAACTACATACATAAGACCTGGAGGGTTTTTTCACCAGGGAAGATTGACACTGTTGAAGATGCCACAGGTATTCGGAGTTTGACAACGCTTTAACCAGTAAAACCTAATATGAATCGGAACCATCAAGTGAAATCAAAAGACAGAAGCGAGAAGGTTCGAAGATATATTTGATGGGCTATCAATATACCGAGGATCGTCTGATCTAATCTGGCTAGCGATTACAGAGGATGTTGAGCACGGCGTTCCCACTCATGATCTGGTGCGGATGCATGAATGAGCGCCTTCAGCTAGGTGACT